GATTATGTTTCCGATGTGGCGACCCATTCAGGCCTGGTCATCGCTGCTCCAGTTCTTTCTCCCTCATGGAAATTGACGACGAGGGAAATCCAGTGCAGGAGAAGTTGGATTCTGTGGAAGAGCAAGAAGTTGAAACCTTAGAGGAGGCCGAGATCTCATTCAATGCCATTCTGGGACGACCTACAACAACCACTATGAAGCTCCTTGGATCTATCTCTTCTAAGGAGGTTCTGCTATTAGTAGACAGTGGGTCAACACACAACTTCATCTCGGACTCTGTAGTCCGTGACCTGAACTTGCCAACTCTTTCCATTCCAACATTCGGTGTACAGATTGGAGATGGCAGTGTTGTTCGCTGCAATCAAATCTGCAAGGGCATTGAAGTAATGATTTCAGGATTGAAAATCACCCAAGACTTCTACCCCTTCTCCTTAGTTGGGTCTGATTTGGTTTTAGGTATTAAGTGGTTGGCATCTCTTAACACCATCCAAGCCAACTGGAATGAATTGTTCCTGGCATTCTGGGTTGACGGGAAGCAATATAAGCTACAAGGGGTACCACGACTGGAAAGACAACAACCTTCTCTGCACTCCATGCACTCCTTAGAACTTAAACTAAGGTCTGGTCACTCTGGTTCCCTGAAGCTAGATGACTTAATGACTGAGTATGCCACCATCTTTAATGAACCCACAAAGCTACCTCCCTTTCGGAAGCACTGTCATGCCATAAATCTTCTTCCTAATACATCACCACCAAACTTAAGGCCTTATCGGTGCCCCTATTTTCAGAAGAACGAGATCGAACGACAGGTAGAGGATTTACGAAAGAAAGGATACATTCGGCCAAGCTCATGCCCTTTTGCAAGCCCTGTAATTCTAGTAAAGAAGAAGGACAACTCATGGCGTATGTGCATTGACTATCGTGCCCTCAACAAGATCACAATACCTGATAAGTACCCTATTCCAAACATTGACGAGTTACTTGATGAGTTATATGGTGCTGCCTACTTTTCTAAGATCGACTTACGATCAGGTTACCATCAAATTCGTGTTCTCGATGCTGACATTCCAAAAACAGCTTTTAGAACTCACAACGGGCACTATGAATTTGTGGTGATGCCATTTGGCCTTACAAATGCCCCAGCAACTTTTCAAGCCGCCATGAACGACTTGTTCAGACCCTACCTC